CTGGGGCCACATGTGGCTCTTTGGCCCCTCTGCAGTGTCTCTTTGAAAATGTGACCAAACATAACAGAATTTTTTTGTTTTGTTTTTATACTCACAAAAGAAATCAATTTATATGCAAATAGGTGATCAATAGTACTAATACAAAAAGTAAAACATGTTGATTAGTTCATGCTAGCCTGCTGCGTACTCAAATAATCCGACTTCTTTCTCTCAAATCTGTTAGAATTGCATTTAAAGAATTTGAAGACTACATAATAAGAAGAATTAGAAAAAAATATGCCTGAATAGTTCAGTTGTACAATTTTTTATGAAATTCAGTATAAACTATATACAGTATTTGTTCTTGTTTACGTGAATATCGACTTTATTTGTCCTAATGTGTAAAAATATTAAATAATAAAAATATTATTTTTGATTTATAATGACATCTCCACTGGCTGCAAAGATTCCTGAAAAGACCTCAAAAAGGCCCACGGACCACCAGTTGATAATCGCAGTTGTAGCTTGTTTTGCGGCTCTGGACACATTTTATTAGTGAGACAAGTAGGAGAAATGGCTGTTTTTATTGTAAAGGTTGCAGACACTTGGGTTAGTGTCTTATCGATCCTTCACCCCCACCTGACTGATGAAAAAGTCGGATGGAATGTGACATGATGAGCGTTCACTCTGCAGTCACTTGGAAAAACATCAGATATGTATTCRATTTAGAACCACATACTGAAACGGCCTCAGCCTGTGTCAGGTTTGGGAAAAACAGATTTGTCGTGTTCAGACTGTCATAAAAAAATCAGATATGGGTCGCATTTGCCTGCAGTGTGAACGTAGCCTATGATAGGTCAAATGCAGAGCACAAATTTAATTATTGTACGGGAATGTGCACTGATGACAGTTTATAACACGTTCCTCTGCACCATGTAACACCTCGTGGAGTAGTCTGCACCATGTCAACCTTAGGAATCATCACTTGAGTTGTTTTGAGTTAATGTCCTGATCCAAAACCTGTTCCTTCTCTCAGCAAGTATGGAAATGTTCCTTAGATAATAATTCACGTGTTTTATGCTCCTCAACTGTTTGTGTGCCTTGCAAGCTTGTTGTCACGAYGCACTTTTACATCTGCACATGACAAAAATGTAAGAAACGTAACAGTTTCCTTTGAACCTGAGGTGGCTCTAATTATTTTTGAGGCGTGTTAAATGTTTTGTTGAATGAGATTAAATGTGGTTCAGTTTCATTGTTTGGGTTTAAACCACAACTGCTCAAACTCATGAAAACATTGTGTCTAAATGTCCCCTAAGTTCAATTGAATTAAGTCGTATTTCAGTGTATTTAGCATTTCAGTCCTTTGTAATTTGATGCTGTCGACTGAAAAGCTGTGGTGCAAATAGGAAACAGCTGGAGGAACATTTTGCAATTCATCATGTTAAGAAACCTGAAAGGACAGGGTGTAAAAAGAGCATGTTAGAGAGGCTGAATCGCTCAGAAGTGAAGATGTGTGTTATGTTGGATGAGCGAAGGAGAATGAACTCAGACCCGGACGGAGGTAAGAGTTTACAAAAATAAGAATGTGCATTAATAAAAATAAAATAAAGGCTGATGTGGCAGCAAAACAACAAATAACTAGGCAACACAGAGAAAACAACAAAGAACATCCAGCGACGTGTTGAACAAACGAAACAGAATTTATACTGACAGAGAGGATAATGGGCAACAGCTGAGGAAGATACTGATTAGAAAACTACTGACAGGTGAGTGTGACAGGAGGAAATGACAGGTAAACAGCTGAGGGAATAAAGGCTTAATGACAACAAGGGAACACAAGAGGGAGGTAGAACACAAGACCCAAAACCACAGATCCCCACAACGGCCACAGGTTCACCAGTCTTAAAAGAAATAGCTCCATAAAATGTACACATTTAACAATTTAGCTAAATTTACAGCCTCTCTGACAGCACAGAAACTCCATTTTAAAAGTTTCTAATGTTCTTTTAATTGCTACAGATTCTGTTATACATTTGATGTTAGACACGACCATAATATTATGCTCTCTAGGCTAGCCCAAGGTGGTATCAAAGGCTCACTGGATTGGTTCAGGTCTTATCTGACATGAGTTTTTCTGTGAGCCTAGGGAACTCTGTTTCCTCTTCATCCATCTTCACACGTGGAGTTCCCCAAGGATCCATTCTTGGTCCTGTGGTGTAACTGAGTATTTGGAAACGGATGGAGTTGTGCAGTAATGACGTCAGGAAGCTAGCTGCGATGGTCAGGCAGTCTAGAGTAGCAGAGCAGGGTGGTATACGAACGTTCAGACTGTTAATAAACATATCCATGTTTAAACGTTAATGGCTAATCATTACAAACATAACTTGGATACCATGGACAGAGGTGATTGGGCCTTTTCARTTGTGGCTCCTAAAGTGTGAAAACAGTTGCCCCTTCACATCACACAGGTTTCAACTCTTAGTTTTTAACTTTCACCTTAAAATACTTTTTTTTCAAAAGCCTTTAATTCAGCATGAGAGTTGACTTTTCCACTTCTATGGTTTGTGGTTATTCTTATGATCTTGTTTTGTTTTTTTATTATTTGTAAATATGATAAAGTTACCAATTATACCAGCTTTAAATGCTCAACCTGTCAAGAATAAAGTAGTGTTTATTTATTGTATCTTTCCATTTTCAATAATCAAAATCCCAGTTGTGTGTATGTGTTTGTTTTCAATCAAACATACAMGTTCTGCTGTCACATTTATTTGTTTTGATTAAAAAGTCTTTAAAATGAGCACAGTACATAAAGTAACAATGTTGTTGAGTGTGTGCCAAAGACCAGGCTGTCTTTCTCAACAAGGCCACAAAAACAACAGCACACACACACCATCTCTCACACACACACTTCCAGTCACCACACAAGTTCAATTCTGACTACAGACATTATGCACTGGAACTGAAAAGCATGTTACACCATAAACACAAAGTTACAGAACATACATCACATTCACACACAAACTAACTGGTTTAATCATCCTCTCTTATTTGAATTTATTTAGGCAGGTTGGATAACATGAAGGCATTTCCTCACATAACATAAAAGGAAAAAAATGTTCAAAGAATAATGTTAAAAATGTAAATACTTCTGTCATTTTCAGATTTTATTAGTTAATAATGATTCACCTGTTCCCACAAGTTTAAATTTGTATAATAAACTTTTAGGATTTATTGTACTTAAAAACTCCTTCAGTACTTTTAGACAAATTATTTAAATATATGGCTTTAATTACTACCACTTCTATTAAAAACCTGATGGTGTGGGGACTTCTTTGTCACCCTGTCTTCACTTTGGTCATGAAATTCAGCTTATTTTTTCCTAATGTTTTGTACTATATACTAACTATACTGATTGCTGGTATGTAGTATAGTTGGCATGTAGTGTAACAGGCAAATAGTAAAAAGAATGTAACTATAATAGTGTGTAATACACTTCTGCTGTCCCCAGGAGGTGGTCACCTCAGGGTCCGTACATTGTTCTGTCATAAACTGAGTAGTTGTAGGATTGTACTGTAGGAGTTCCAGGCAGTCCGATTCAGTTCTATGTTGTTTGATACATTAATATTTTGATAATAAAACTACACAAATGGGGCAATATCATGTGTTTCTCAGACATATATTTAAATTCTATACCTTAATAAAGTCTCTATGTCACCTTCGGTTGTTAGTAAAATGTCGTTTATATTTTTAAATCAAAAATAAACTTGTCTTCTCATCATTTCCTCTCTCTTTAAGAACCTCCTTCTGTTCTGATCCCGTCACGCCCATTTCAACACGTCATCATAGCCACTGTTTTTAGCCAGTTTCTGCTGCTGATAGCCTGAAGGAGTCGCAGGGCGGGGCAGGGTGTGCGCTGTGATGAAGAAGCTCAGCTTGGAGACACAGCCCAGAGGAGGAGCTGGTCCCAAAAGGTGGTTCTAGTCCCAACCGGTGGTTTTTGCTCCCCTGCCTGGCTGCCTCAGGACACTGCAGGATTTCTCAAACATGCATGAATGAGTCAGAGTAAGACTCTGGACATGTTTTTTATGAGTGTAACATTATAATGTGATATAAAACTCAAAAAGGTTGATTTTACATGATATTGCCCCTTTAAGAGTCCATTATTAATTTTTCAGCAGACCATGTTCATCAGAACTACACTTTGTAACCTTCTAAAACAGTGCAGGAGCTTCAGGGGGCTTCATCTCTTTGTGCCCCCCAACTGGGAACCTAAGGTCCACTTTTTTGCCTGTGTAGGCAGCAGTCTCCGCCAAAAATACATCTAAACCGTAATGACAGGTTTCATGTTTTATGAATAACATGTTGGATGATTTATAAGCATGGTTTGAATTTTACTCCATTTAAAAAGTATTTAAACTTAATGAGTCTGCTGTTTAATGTCTAAAGGAAAGACTGTAAAACTTTGGGATTATTGTTTTTTCTCAAAATCAATACTCAGTGTAAACGTTCTCCTGTTTTTGAGGACAATGACTGATCTTTCAGTACCGTTCACGCCCACGTGGATAAAACGGGGGGTGGGGATGTGCAAAGTCTATCTGCTGACTWAAAGTAAACATGTCAGCTGGTGGCCTCGCGCTGACATCACGGAGGTAACGCACCACTTCATCAGGTCAAACAAAATACAAACATAATAAACACCTTTTCACTGCCTTTGGTGAGATGGAAACACACCCACCCACCCACACACACACACACACACACACACACACACACACAC